GGTAGGAAATGGGACTTGGACGGGTCCGAGAAGGAAGATTCCCCTAGGGAAACTGTCAGGAAGCTGAACAGGGATATAGAGAGGGAGCGCGCCGTGGCAGAGGCCAAAATGTGGGGGGAGAAATTTCGGGAAAAGCGACAGCAAGGCAGCGATGGGAGTTGTGACGGAAGCAATGGATGAGGGGAGGGGAGGGGGGGGGGGGGGTTCACTTGTGTGTGTACAGTTCATTTCCCTTCTCTTCTCTTGTTAGGGGAAGAAGGCCAACTTTGTATCTTTGTATTATTGTTGACTCCATTTTTACCTTTGGGTTTCTTGGAAAACCACAAGAAGTCTTCTAGTGCAATGGGTGTGTGTATATTTACAGAGGAAAATGGCAGATGAGTTGAATAACACCTCCCCAAGAATTGCATTTTTCCCACTCCTATCTTTTCCCCTGACTTTCAAATGGTTCTATTTTCTACATTTGAATGACTACACATGTTTATAATTATTATTGTTATTATGATAAGAGTGAAGTCCCCAAATGGTCATCTACTTGATAATTAAGGTGTTTCCCAAATTGGTACCCGGCACATAATTATGCATTGATTAGTCCCTTAAATGAGGAGTGATTCCTTGGGTGATCTTCGGTCAAAAAACAGAGTGAGGGTTACAATTGTCTTTTTCATATGCCTCTAACCCATTTTTATTTTTAAAAGAAATATTTTGCAACCACAAATCTTTGATTTTACAAGAATACTTCAATAATTAATTAATTACATCTACAATTGCTCTCATTTTACAAAAACATTCAACCCGCTACGGCGCTACCTCACTTGCACAATCAAATAAAGGGGCTTTGAGTCATCCCAGAACATTGATAATAACTAATGTCATGGGATGCGTCTCAGATAACTTTTGGTCATCAATTAAATAAAGTTTAAATCTGATAGTCATACAAAAATAAATTAATTATATTTGTCTTGTATAATAATAAAAAAATTATTTTCTTGTTTTAAAATGTAATGTAAATTTAATATAATTGGTGATTATGATCTGCTTAATTTGACTAAAAATTCAAACGAGACAAATATTATGAGATGAATGGAGTATTATGCTACATTTATTTAAGAAAAAATAGATGAAGTAGCGATTTTGGCTTCCAGTTCTAGAGTAGGGCAAATTGAAGAAATGAAGAAAATAGGAGGTAAATTGCAGTAATTTACCTTAGGGAGGTTGAGGAGACCAACTTGAAGAAATGAACAAAGAAAAAGGAAGAATTGAAGCAAATTGAGAGGAAAAGGGGGAAATGAAGAAAAAAAGAGCAAAGGAAAAAGATGAGCAATTCACTATATATACGTGACTGTGTAGAAATAGGAGGTGAGAATGATTTTTTGCACTATGGTGATTTTTACCATTACATATAGATAAAATTAACAGTAAATGCATATAAGGTATATTTAACCATTTTAAAACCCACTTAAAAACAAGTGTGACGTATTGAAAACCGGTAGCAGGTAGCACCAGTGGTCTAGTGGTAGAATAGTACCCTGCCACGGTACAGACCCGGGTTCGATTCCCGGCTGGTGCATATTTTTTGTTCAAATTTTACTCTCTTCTCTTCTATTTGTGTATGTTCATTTGGTTGAAAAAATTATGGAGTAACTTCTAGTTTTGACAAAGATGAATATTTTTTGTTCTAAATTAATTTTCGTACATACTTATACGGATTATTATTCAATTGAAAAATTTTTTTTGACACCAATATGGAAACGAACAAAAGAAGAAAAACAACAATAATAAAACATAATCCCATGAATCGACCCAAAATCTCGTATATCATCCTTCATATTAAAAGAGAATAAAAAAGAGCAAATAATGCAATAAAAATTTTATCTGAATTCATTCATCTCATTTATTTGCATAATAATTAATAACCTCTATGTACACACATGCTCCGTTTGAATATGATTCCCTTATATAACTAATTAATTAACGGTACTTTCCTTCAAATTTGGCTCTGAATCTATAGGGTGCACCGAAATTTGGTTGTTATTATTATTATTAGATGATGACGTCGTGTTCGGTTGCATTTCCATGTCCACCATTTGCTCCCCTGTTTTCTTGGCTCCGTCCTCTTTAATTGGATCTCTTTTTCGGTATACCACGTACAATAAAATTTGAAGTAGCCCCAAAAAGAACCCCAATATGTTTGGCAACTGCAGAGTTTACAATCACGAGTTTGAGTTTTTGGTTGAATTTGTTTGTTAAGATATGTTTCTCACAATATGTATTATGTTGTTATCGGGGACATACCGCAATGCGCAAGTCCTTCATTGCTGCACCATAACCGAACCACATAATTGCGCTCATTGTGAGGAAGAAAGACAAGTAGAATGGCAAGAACTCAACACTCTTCGTTTGGAATACTTGAAGCTGAACAAGTAATTAGCGTGTTAGTGTCATTTTAGTTAAAAATTTATTTTCAGTTTACTCAATTGTATTGCAATGTGTGTATAGGTAGGAATGTAGGATCACATTAAGAAATAAGTTCAAGGAAAAAATAAGTTATTACCGCAACACTAAGCGGTGAAGCAAAAACAGCAATGGAAAATGCAACACAAATCCAGCCAACAATGCTAATGCGAACTTCACCAGGGAAAAGAAACCATGTGACCACGAAAGTTAAAGTGAACCCTCCAATGCAGAGAAACAACTCCTTCAACGTGTGACACTGCACACGTTAGAAACGTACAATTAATTAACATGATCCACACGGAGTATATATACACACATATGGATGATGAATATGTACCCGGGCTTTATGGGACGCGAAGAAGATGAAAATGAGGATGTAAAATGACTGAATGAGGATTCCAAGGGAGTTGATGGAGATGAGGAGAAGTGCATTCTTCTTGATGAAAGCATAGTATATCCAAAGCATGGAAGAAAAGAGTGCCATAATATAAGGTACCGAATGAAACCCCATTGTTGATTTCGCTTTCCAAATTCGAATGAATGTTGACCTGAATATATATAGGGGAATTTATTTAAATAATATTAAAACATAATGACTTTTTCTAAATAGCTTCATATGTGTTTTTTTCCAAATGTAGCACTTCTAGTCATTATCCATTAGTCATTATTCAAGTAAATATTCGTCATCAATGGACATTATTCCTCTTTCTGGACATTATTAAGTGCTATTTAGGGATTAAAATAGTTTAAGAACTATTTAGGGAAATAACTTAACTTTTAGTGCTATTTAGTGCAAATATTTCCATATATATATATATATATATATATATATATATATATATATATATATATATATATATATATATATATATATATATATATATATATATATATATATATACATATATA